TACCGCCATTGGCACCACCACCACCACCACCACACCAGTCCAGCCAATACCACCAGTGGTTGAGAAGAAGGTTCGATCGTTGGGACAACACTGTTATTCGCCTGGCGTTTCGATATTTGTCGTGGATTCTTCATCAGAGACATGAGCAGAAAGCAGTAGCAGAAGAAGGTAACACATGTACTGAAAATTTGCAGTATTTATAGGGCAGAATCCTTACTGCACAATAATGAAAAATGGCGACGCTTAAGGATAAATGCCCTCCTGTGTGTTGGTCGCTTAATTACCGGCATACGGACACTGACTTGCTGAACCTTCATCACGCGTGGTTGAATTGGACTTGATGATTGCTCGACCATGTGATTCCCCGCTGTTGGCGTAAGATGGCACGGTGGGCTGTGAGTTCCCCGCGTGGGGACTTGCCTTGGGCCGAACTGAGCTTCAGCACCCTTTATGGATTAGGTAGGTCGTTGCATTTGTTTCTGGACTGGGGGCCTGTGAACCATGACTCAAGTAATTCTCGGCTCGCAAGCTTGTCACCTCTTGCTAGAATTTCGGCCTAATCAGATTTGAATGTGTGGCCGGTTCTCGTTGAATAAGCCTCAACTTGAGAATTGGTATCAGTTCTCCGCACTGCTACTGCGTGCTCGGCAGTTCGCGTCCTGAGAAGTCTGCCAGTTTCTCTGACGTAGTTGCTTTGTCCAAAACTGCACCAGATTCTATAGACGACTGCAGATGTTTCTTGCCGTGGTAGTGGGTCTTTTGTTTTCATAATGCGACGCCTTATGGTTGCCTCCGGCCTGTGGGCGTCTCCAACTCTGTGCATGTGCTTCCCGTTTCTGTTACTGCTTTCTGCTCATGTCTCTGATGAAGAATCCGCAACGAATGTCGAAACGTCCGGCAAATAAAATTGTTGTGCCAGCGATCGTATCGCTTGTATTACAACCACTGGTACCATAACCACCACCACCGTCATTACAGCCGCCAAACCATTACCACCACCCACACCAATATCACCACTGGTGCTGGCACAACCACTGACACCACCATTGGTACCAGAACCACCACCAC